TTTTTTTTTTTTTTTAAATGTAATTTTGTTTTTTGGTTTCGGTTAAATAAACGTGTAAATGGTTTCACTGCACATCACTTTAAATCCTCTTAGGAGGTAAGGTGAGCTTTTCTTGGTGTATTATTTTATTCTAATATTAATTCAAATTAAACGCAGTAAAAATGAAATGTAATTTCGTGATGATAGCCCCTCTGACGTCATGGATATTTCCTCCCCCCATGCTGAGCCCTTGACTTTGCTCCCCCCGTGTTAAAGCGGAGACAGGCTGTCCTCCTCCGCCTCTCTCGGTCTCCCTGCTAGACTGAAGCTGTCCCGGACCTCAGAGCGGATGATGCGGGTTTCGGTGCTCCGGCTGGCCGCAGCGCTGGCTCTGTTTGCCGCAGTGTGCGGCTCTCGGGCGGAGGTGATCGATGACATCCTGAGCAGCCTCTCCCGCGGAGTGTCCTTCCTGGAGCGGCAGCACGAGCACATCAACCTGGACGGAGTGGTGGGGTTCGTCATACTGCAGGGTAAGACTGTTTACCAGCTGCAGGAAAACATCTGGAGAATAACAGCTGTTTATTGTTTGCTTGTTTTGGTGAAACTCACTGATTTCAGATCGAACAGGTTATACAAACATGCGAAAGCTTTTAAAGTGAAATGCTTTTAACCTCAGTGTCGACTGAAAGTGACACATTTTCTGCTTCACTCTCAGACTTTTCACTGATCTGTTTTATTTTATAGTAAAATACAGTAAAGTACAGCGCTGCCAGCACAGCTACTGCTCTGACATTTGATTTTCTGACAATGGAAACCCCAAAGTAATCTAAAAATAAAGTAAATCTATTGTTTTAACCCCTTCCGTCCAAAAACAAATGATGAACATTTCCAGAATAAAAAGTGTATCCCCCCCTAAAAAACTTTGATTTTGTGGCCGTAGCTTCCTAACACTAGAATTACTGAGCCTTTTCCCCCCTGGTGCAGTCCTACTACTAGATTTACTGGCCTGTGCAAATTTGCGTAAATCCCCCCCGACCCTAACACCTCTTGGCACCCCGCTGAGATTTTCACAGGTCTTCAGCTCCATTGTTCTCCTGCTTTTGTTGTGCAAACACACCCTCCCCCAACCCCCAACCATGAGAGATTCAGGTCTTTCCTTCCCTGCAAGGCTACTTTCCTTCCTTACCTGCAGCGTACAATACACCATGGTAGTTCTTGTCAATCCTTGTCACTACATTGCATGCCTGCCCATAAACACATATACACAGAGATGTACATATATTTATATAGCCAGACCTTACATAATATGCATATAGTCTAGTTACACACACACATGTGGCCACTGATACCAGAAGAATCCTTTTCAGATTCTTCTGAGGAGGTATCAGTGGCCTGCTGGACAAATGAAACCTCTCCTCCATCAGAATCTGCTTCGTCCATTTCCTGCAGCAAGGCCAAAGCCTGTTGCGCGGAGAGGTTCTTCCTGTGTGGCAATTTTTTCTCACCAGGAAAACAAACTGACTTTAATGCGAGGCCGTGTTTGCACACAGAGCTCTGTTTGTCCAGCAGAGAGAGAATCACACTTTCTAAGTTAGAAGGCTTTTTGTCAATTTCCTACCAATCATTCATGAAGCTGACCTTGAAGACCTCGGTGGATGTAAGTCAGCATTTACAAACTCAGCTTGCTCCTGATTTAGAGAGACGGACATGATGCCACTCAGGAGCTACACCTGCAAACCTGTTGGCAACCAAAGCAGTCACATGAAGGCTTTCTGTGCAGCTGCCCTCTTTGCATATGCAGCTGCTTTCATCAGCCAGCCGGTCAGCTAATATGGAGACCAGAAGGCTGCTGGCTGGTCTGCAGGTCTGTGTGACTGAGGCTGAAGTAAAAACACTGAAGAGCTCACCTTTGAAATAAAACAGCAAGTAAGCCAACAGAGGGAAAACACAAAGACAAAAGCGAGGGCATGAAAAAGAACAAAGGAAGAAAGTAACAGATCAGAAAACCAACTAAGGGCCTACCTTTCAAAATAAAACAGGAAGTAAACCGAAAGAGGGTGCATCCACAGGAGGACACAGGCAGAGGAAATTAAAACCATAAAGCAAGTTTACTTATATCCTTTTATCTTACGAATGAACTCTTTCTTCCTGTTTTTGTGTCTCAGCTGAGCTGAAGGAGGCGGTCCGGACGTGGCCTCACACCGACCCGGTCAGCTGGGCTCAGAGAACCACCGCCGTCGCTCTGGTCAGACGTCTCGACCAAAGTCTGGAGAAGGCTAACGCTGCACTGGAACAGGACGACCCAAAATACTACAGAGGTGAGACTTTCAGACTCCATGTCCCCAAAGTCTGCAGGTACAGTGCTGATCCATTTAGTGGTTCATTCTTGGAGCTGTTATGGTCTTTATGTGGAAGAAATTAACACATGAAAAGGCTCAGGGCATCTCAGATATTTATATTCATGAAGGTAAACGTGTCAGTGATGTGAACACAACATCGAGAACAGACAACAGAAAGCTAAGAGACAAATTTCAGTTTCACTGCTGTGACGTCTTCTGCAGGTGTTTCCTGAAAAAGGAGGAGCTTATTTAAAGACTGTTTGAACTATAGGGGCTGTTTTTGAGTTAAATTTGTATTTAATTATGTTTTTAATCATCACGACGTATTGATTAAGGTTTAATTATATAATTTAAATATCTGACTTGAGAGAAATGAGCAGGCAGGTGTTGCACAGACGTGCAGGTGAGGTTTGTTGAGATCCTGGCAGATTTTAACACTTGTGCGTTTCCTGCATCCTCCTCTCCAGAGTTCGAGCCGCTGTTGTCGTGGAGTTTCTGGCTGATTCCTCAGGAATGGTACACCACAGATCCCAGCCTGGTTTATCCCTCCACCATGACCACTGAGTGCTACGACGAGCAGCTCAGTGACAAATGTCTGACCCTGCTGCTGGGAACCTGGTAGGAACCCACACCAACCAAAGAGTCTGGCGTCAGAGGCTCTTTACTGTGCTGGTTCCTCTACATGTGGATTGTTGGACTGTGCAAATTATTCACCGGCCACAGCCTGTTTTTAACTTTAAAAATGCTGATTTACACTAAAGAGAAAGTTCTTTATCTCATTGTAAGTGTAAGTGGTGAGGACACTCACCTGCGAGTCGTGTGTGTGTTCGGACAGGAAGATGAACGGGACGCCGTGCATCGTCACCAAGCCCTGCCGGGACACCATGACTCGTTTTGGGTGTCCACACTACTCTCTGTCCCACCAGCTTCTCTACTTCATGATCGGAAAAATGGTGAGCAAACAAAGATGGAAACAACACGTAAAACCACTCAAAGACCCACAGATGTGTGGAACACTAACAAGCATGTTGGAGAAAGAAACAACCTGATTTTAGGAAGCCTCACAGAAAGACGGGCTCCAAACCAGATATGAGCCCCCTGTGTGGAGTTTGCATATCGGCTCAGAACCTCCGGTTTAAATCAAAATACCAGATTAATGCTGCCCATCTCAGCCCAAGCGGAATTTTAAATCTTTTACTTCCTGGTAAGACTCGTTACATTTTCATTAAGAGTCTTTACATTTGTATGTTTTTCCCAGTAAAATACTGAGCCAAAAGCTCAGGCTGTAAACACTCTAAACACTTGGCTGTAGAGCCGTAGCTGTGAGCACAGAAGCCCCGCCCACCCGCTCTCCAAGACATTCTGTTTATAATGTGCAGCCAATCAATAAAAAGCTGTCTTAAAGGGAGAGCAGTACAGAGCCAAAGACAGAGCCTTGGGGAACACCGCAGGTGGCAAAACTACTGTTAGAAATATTTGATTAAAGTAGCGAGGACCATTACAGATTTCAGTACGAGGGGAATTTATGAGCTTCACAGTTTGTATTTCCGTTTCAGAAAGGTTGCACTAATCTGCTGAAAGGCGACACACGAGCATCCAGAGCAAACATGACCGAACAGAACTACCAGAGGATCTTCTGCTCCAACATGATGAAGACCAACCAGGACATCAAAGACGGTCTGAGCGAGCAGATGGTCGACATCTTCATCGAAAACAGTGAGTGGCGACATTTTCCTGATCCGGTGTTTTTCCGGTTTGATGCAAAATGACTTCCCATATTTAATTTTTTTTTTATTACTCATATTTTAATATTTTCATGCAAAAAAGCTTAAAAATGAATTAATTTATAAATATAAACCACTAATTATGATCAACTTAAGGATAAACTCATAAAATGATTGACTGGAATGGGAAAACCATAGTGTCAAATATTGATGTGTCCTTTTGAATGAGATAAACTAAAAACATTTACATTTTTTTGATGACTGCATCACCATTTCAATATAAAAGAAAATTATGGAATAAAAGAGATGATAACAAAATCTGAATTTCAACAAAATTCAGAGTGTTCGTTGTAGAATTTGGGGATTTTGATGTTGTGTCCTGACTTTTCAGGAGACATTGAGGCTCACCTTCAGAGAATTCGTGTAACAAAGAAAGTTTTTTCTTGTTTTAGGACTTTTTAAGACTTTTAATTTAATTTTAGGTTAAATTGAAAAGTGTACTGGGGGGATTTGGATGAGCAGTCAACTGTAAAAATGTCTGAACTGTAAATAAATTAGTTTCTGAGTTTCCTCTCTATGTTGGCAGTCCTGATTTGTGGATTGTCTGGATTCTCCGACTTCCACAAAGCCGATTGGCTGCAGCACATTCTGAGGCTGCAGGACGAGGAGGTGGGCTGCTTTGGGAGAGACAGTGAGTATCACAAACCTGCTACAGTCTGCTGAAATATATGTTCTTAGTCCAAAATACCAAATATGTCAAACCTCAGAAATATAGCAACAGTGTATTTTAGAGGTCTTAATGAAACAAAGATGGCCACTGATGCAAGAATGTGCAGGTTTTTTATGTGTTAGGCAAATAAAACACAAAGAGCATTCGTACAAGTAACGTGGCGATCAGATCTCTGTCTGACGTTATGTCACGGGATCTGAATTACCTGCAGATTTCTTGAGAAAACTTTTGAGGAAGTGCAGTAATTTGTTATAGAAGAAACTTCAGAAATATTGTTATAATTGACCTACAGTTTCTAAACTTTTCATGATTTATTTCTTGATTTCTTTGGACAGACCAGCAAACAAAGACTGCAAACAGAATTTTCTGCTCACTTATTGTGAAAACGTTTAATAAGAATAAATGTTTGAAGTAGTCGTCAAGGATCTGGGATTTTATGCTGATGAATAATAATGCTGCCCAAGGGGTGTCCAAGTGTGGATAATAAAAACTGAAGAATACTTCCTTGAGGAACACCATATTTAACATCAGCTGCCCTGAACCATTAAATCACTTTGAGTAGAAAACAATGATAATGAGAATAGTGATTAAGAGTCCTTCCATCTCAAATCACTGCCAAAGTTCTATATCTGCACATACACGCTAATAAAAGTAGTTTACAACACGAAATTCTTCAGTTGTAGCATTTTAAACTTTGGGAATTCTTCATGTTGGCCAAAGGCAGGATGTATAATGGAAACAGGTTAGGAGCCTGAAACGTCCTTGAAGAACATAATTTCAACAACAAATGTCGTCGACACTAAATCACCCGAGTTACAAATTTAACTAGAGGGATGGAAAATCTTTGGGCTTTTCAGAAAATTAGAGGTTTTTGGGAGCTTTTTGTCACAATTATTATTGCATTCCTGAAATGTTCGTGTTTTGGATCCTGTAGTAAGATATTTAATAAATAGATTTAAATATCTATTTGAATACAATAAATAATAAAATCAGCCAAGGAACAGACTTTTATATGCACTGTACAGATGTATTAACCCAGCGGTCCCCAACCCCCGGGCCTTCGGACCGGTACTGGTCCGTGAGTCGTTATCTATCCAATTATCTGTATTTATCTGTATTAAATGACTCATTTCTGGGCAGTTCATTCTCTGTTGTTCTCCTCAGAGAGCATCATCTCACAGATCATTGGAGACGAGCTGCTGGAACAGCTGCAGCCTCACAGGAGAGTGAAGAGGAGGGAGAAGATACTTCCAGGTCCGTTGACATTTTTCTCATCTGTCACGGTCTGCAGCTGCAGAATGTGTGAAGTGATGATGAGGCGGTCCCAAATGCAGACTTAACAAAAAACAAGCTGCTTTATTCATAGGCTGCACAAAAACAGAAGCAAATGGCGAATGGAGATAGAACGAAACTAGGTAGAACATGAATCACAAAAATGAAACTAAGAACTTGGACGTGGACAACTGGACAAGGGACAAGAGGAACCTGACACAACATATATGCACACACACACACACACACACGAGGGTGACTAGAAAAAGCAGAAACACACGGGGAACACAGCTGGGACGAATTAGGCGTGACGAGACAGGGAGGAAGCAAACACAGTGAACACAGACTGTCAAAATAAAACAGGAAACACACTAAGACACAGACTAAAACACGCAGCATGATACAGGAGCCGGGAGGAAGGAAAGTACACGGGACCAAGACAGACTGGAGAGACAATTGGATGGAAACAGTTACAGAGGCGAGACATGGAGGGAGAGAGAGACAAGACAGGCTGGGGAGAACTCACATGGACAGACATGAGTGACTGTGGAAACACAAGGAGGGGAACGTGTGGACACAGAAGGGAGACGCAAAACAACGACCCGACTAAGACACACACAGAGGGTGATGGAGCGATAGACACCGAAACACAAACACAGACGACAAGACAGAGTCTCACAGGAGACACGACAACAAAGGCACAAAAGGGACCGAACAGACCAGAAATGACCAATAACTCAGTGACATGAACAGGACTAAACTCAATACTGAATGATAGAAAACTCAATCGTAACATCTGAGGAATCACAAAAACACAATAAACTCAGAGCTGGATCAAATGACCAGAACCACGACAAGATCGTAACAATCACATCAGCTGATCTTCAGCCACTGTGGCTAAAGAAGCTCGTTACGTTTGTAGGTTTGGAGGAAATCTGAAGAACGTTGGTGTTGTGAAGCCAGCGGAGGTCACATTAAAAATGCAGTCGGATGCAGAGCTACTGGAGCTCACATGCTGATAATTATGTGTGAAGCTGGCATGAACAGTCTTTACCACCTTAAGTACTTCATCTGATTTAGTTTGGGGGTTTTTGTTATTGTCTAATAAACTCTGTTATCTTTCATCTGCCAGACGGCTGTTCCAGTCACATGACGGCGGTGGCGGTTGGTGCTCTGGGAGGATACCTGAACTACTACCTGACAGAGCAGGACATCACAAAGAGGCCGCTCTCCTGAGGGGCGTTCCCACGAGAAAAAAAAACACTGTAGATCATCAGGTAGAGACTTTTATCATCGGTGAAACGAGGCAGACTCTCCACACCAGAACGTAGTGTTAACATGACGAAAACGCCTAATGCAAACCCGGATGTGGAGGCTAAAGCTTTATTTTCAGTCATGTTTTGTTACTATAACAATAAAGCTGATTTTTTTACCATTATTATCAAACTTAAACAAGATGTTTGAAAGTAGTGATGCTCCAACCGTAAGAAAGGATAAGTAGGACCATGGTAAAATATAAATGGGCGTTTTGGAGGATGAGACTTGGATTAATTCGACTCTTCGAGGTCATCACGAGATTTTTTCTGGCTCCAGGGGTTAAAGTGGGCCACGGAGATGCTGAAGCCCACCTCCAGTTAATGAGTGATTACATTTGATCGGCAGCTTTTAACATTAAGAGTTCATTTTTATTGCAGCTCGGCTCTGTTTCCAGCTGCTCCCACCTCAACCAATCAGGAGGTGACACACGGCTGCATGCACACACTGAGCCTTCAATCCTTCCATTCGTGTCAGAGTTCATGCTCACAATAAGACTGGAATCTTAATACTTTAGCATTTAGCCATCACTACAGGAGTCCACAGAAAGTGCTGCTCTGAGTGAATTTAATTCAATTCAGTTTCATATATATAAATTTATAGGGCTCAACAAGAGTCACCTCGAGGCGCTTTATATTGTACGGTAAAGACCCAGGAAATATACCCACCCCCCACCAGCCCAATCCCACTCTAACCCCTGTGCATCGGCGACATTGTGTCCACAAAACAGTGTTTTTTCTTTGATGTAGCCTCTTTAGGAGAAATCTGTAGTTGCAATGAGTGAACAAGAGATCAGCTGGAGCTGGAGGGGGGTGGGGTTACCTTTGTGTGAACACCACAGTGAGAAAAACACAGAGGACACAGCGTGATGTGGTCAGAGACTCGACGATTCTGCAGGATTTATTTTTAAAGTTTATATAAAGCTAAAGACGCTGATTGGAGCATCTCTATTTAAAACACATATTTACATTTACTTTGAAAAAAAACATCAGAATCCACCCAGGTTGTTTTCCTGGTGAAAACCTTGAGTTAAGTTCTAAAAATATCTTTATTTACTTTAAATCGTATTGTTTCTCACACGTATTTAATCGACAAACAGTCGGGAGCAGCGGCTGCAGAGGATCTGCATGAACCGAATGCATGGAGATAAACATACATTACTATCATCGTGTATGTTTTTGTTAGTGAAATAAACATAACCAATAAAACTAAAGTCTGTTCTACAAACCGTTGTGTTCATAGTGATGATAACTGCAGCCCGTTAACTGTGATTACATCAGATCTGCTCGCTGAGATCACGTCCTTCAGCCAGAAGAAGAAGCCGGACGAAAGCTCCACAGAAACACGTCACTGTGGTCTGACCGTCTTTAAACAGAGTTTCTGTGGAACTTATTAAACTGTCATAACTCAGCCGGTAACACCTTTGTGATGTCACTTGTTCCAGCCAATCACCTCGTAGAACAGGGCCTTGAGAAGCCGAGCCTCGTAGGTGACGGTGTTCTTGCCGATGTGAATGCGGACCTCCTCCAGAGGCTGCTCGATGATGGCCGGCACCTCCTTCCCATAAACTGCAGGAAAGCAAAGAAAACAGTCGGTCAGAGCATTCAGAGTACAACATTACTGTTTACCACAGTACAGGAGGCATCAACATGAACAGTGGAAACACTGCAAACAATTTTACACTCCAGCTAAACAACCTAAAGTCCCAGCGTGACTGTGATGGACTGATCACAATAATGTGCAGCAGTTAAATGTCTGTGACGCAGACCAGAAACAGGCAGTAACACCCTGAATGTTTGATCCGTTTCCTGATTATTCACTCGAGAAAACGTCACAAAGTGTGTTTGGATGAGCTTCAGAGGCTCATATCAGCAGGTGCTTCACTGGTTTCTGACTTCTGGACTTATCATAACTCTAAGCATCAACATTAGCTGTTTAAGTTGCCACCATGTTGGTTTCTCAGAGCTGAAGGGGACTGGAGCTGTGGTCAGTGTCTCTTACAGCAGTTTCCAACTGTGTGAAGAGACTAAAGATGCGACACTATCACCAAAACGTTAACAATCACTAAAAACTGGGACCCGTACACGAACATTTTAATCTGAAGAAACAATAATGCCATTAATCGTGTCGTCACGCCGGTGCGTTCTCGAGATATTTCTGCAGGCGTGTTTGTGACGGCTGCTCACCCTCGCAGTGCTCCAGGAACTGAATGCACTCCTGCACCACGGTGTCCCTCAGCATGACCATGTGTTTGGACATGTTCTCCAGCAGGGACAGGAAACAGCGCTTGGCGTAGAACCATGTGTCCGTCCCCAGCTACACACAAACAGAACAGATTAACAACATATAACCAGACTGAACGCCTCAGCGCCTGCCAGCAGGATTTGTTTTGTGAACATTGTACGCTGTCGTCGTGACAGTTTAACCACACAGGACGGTTTCCTGTATGAAATGATCTGAAGTAACCAGAGACGAGAAGCGTGTGTGATGCGTGCATCTCGCCAGGTTTCACATTCCTGTCGTGCTCGCTGCTTTCACTGCAGATGCGACTGGAGGAGGAGAGGACAAGCGAAAGACACACGAGAAGCGCAGGAGGACGCAGCGGGATCTCAGCGGAATCAGAGGCAACTCAACTCCACCGAGACTCCGACCAAACGGGAACAAAACGGGACCAAAAAGAGCAGCTCGGCCCTGGAGAAGGTGCTCCTGCAGGACTTTGTTGTTCAGATAATTTTTAATCCTTGGACACAAAGTCCGAACACTGCGAGTGGGATTACCCCCATTTAATATTAAATTAAGCTAAAGCATGATTAGATTTCATCAGACTGTACAACAAGCTGTAAGTGGAGTCAGATTGCACAGAAACTGCAGATTTATGAATAAAACTAAACCATGAAGGATGAAATGTTCAGACTGCTTTTGATAAAACTGTCCATGTGCATGGTTCTTAATCTAAAACTACATGCATGAGTCTCTAATCTATAACCATGAACGTGGACATGGAATTGTCCGGGTGTTAAGCATATTAAAAAACTCCATGAAGCTTGTTTGTTCCTGTGCTTCCTGCTGCTCCTGCAGCTGGTGGGGCTGGTTTGGGCCACCGAGCATCCTCACTGTGGCTGTGTTTTCCCATCAAAGCCATTAAAGGCTTGCATTGTTATGCTGTGTGTCCTTCCAGTGTTAAATGACACAGAAGTACGAGCCCTGCTCGTTTTTGTGTGGGAAAAGGAAAAATCTTCAAATTAAAGAAACAAGATTTGAGTTTTCATATTTTTCATCCGTCTGTAAGAACGATGCCATTACACCACTTACACCAACACCAGGCTCTGATTGGAGGCTCACTCTCCCAACAGATGGCCAATCAGCTGCAGTCCAAGAAGCAGGACTGTGGAGGGAGACTTAAAGCACAGTCGGCACCTCTTCTCTCACTAAAGCTGATCGCCCGGTTGAATCATCATCGTGATTACAAAAGCACTGGAATCAAAATCTTCTGAGTGTTGTTCCCAGTTTGAGGATCACCAGGGTGACCTGCTTGATTTTCTTTTCTTAGCTGTAGGCACTGGGAGCCAGTCAAACATCAGGGGCATTAAACTGGGCAGTAGGAGACGACGTTGTGGTCAGCCTTGGTGACCCGAAGGTCTCTGTGATCTTTTGTATCTGACTGATACAATTGGTGGAAAAATGTCTGACCTTCTTGTTGTAAGGCTCCAGGCTCTTGATGACACGGGAGATGCCAAAGTCGTAGTTTCCCTTTGCACAGTACAGCGTCCTGAAAGACAAAACACAAGTGTGCAAAAAAGGTTTCACAGATCTTACTGATGAAAGCAGGACTTTTTTCTTCTTCTTCTCTAACCTTCACATCAGAAATATTACAAAATAAAATCCTTTGACTGATTTCTGATTGCATAGTTACTCCCTTTACAGTAAATACCTGCTGACTGTCCCCATAAAGCTCTTCCTGTGTAATCAGGATCCGAGTGTGCGACTCACCCGATGACCAGGTTGACGATGCAGAGGTGAAAGACCTTTTTGTCGGGGTCGTCGTAGGAGATCTGCTCCTCTTCTTTCTCGATCTTCCTCATCAGCTCTTCAGCCTGTTAAACCGGGACGACACGCAGAGATCATCAGTCAGAGAAGTTATGCTGTCCTGTTATTGCAGAGGCTTGATTCTGGGCTTTGCTGCTCTTTCTCACACCTTTCCTTTCTACTCTCAGACACAACAAAGGCTAAAAGCTCCCCCCAAAAACGCCGTCCATCCTGGACAGTGGAGCTCGAGTTTGGATGAAAGTATCACACAGGGACCTGATCAGACTCCCAGCGGGGAAAGGCTGCAGCTAGCTGTCTGAACTTTCAGTGTGGAGATAAAGTAGTGCCCGCTGTGGCTTTACTGCGTAACAAAGAATCAACAGTGACAGCGGCCATCGCACAGAATGAGTACAATAACCACATGTGTGCATGAGTCTGAACAGATATCCTCTGTGCTCCCTCTCTCTTTAGGACGACATCCCAGTGGACATTAATCTAATCTTCTATCAGGATATAAATGCTGCTTCATCGTTTTTCTCTACAAGGATATATATTAAGCTGGAATAGGGTAATTCATTTATTTCGTTGACTTCTGGTGCGTCTCTGTTTTTTAAAGCAGTGATTTTCATGAGTTTCATTACTTTCATGTGTGTTATAAACGTGTCCTTCTGGATACAAACCATATAGAAACAGCTTTGGGCTGACAGTGACCGCGTCTGTACGTTACCTCTTCGTTTTGGCTCGTCATGATGTAGGACACGCACAGGTTGGCTAAGACCACTGCGCTCACGTTCAGGATCTACAGAAGCAAACGCCGACATGGATCAGAGGCTTGACCAATGATTTCACAGGAAATCTTTTCAGTCAGCAGCAGAACCTTTAAATGATCCCACTGACGTGAGGTTAGATCTGAACTGGAACATATAAGAAAACTGCAGCTATAGTCTGTTTACTCTGGTCCGAATCAGCTGGGTTGGTAAACTTTTTCTCAGGGTTTGGTTTCTTTTCTTGCGTCACTACAAACCACATGACAATGTTCAGTCTACTGATTGGCCAGATGTGTCTGAGGTGAGAGAAACAAAAGTAAATACAGGAAGAAGGTGCTTTGTTCTGCACTACTGCACAGAGCATGGAGAATATTTTAGCTAAAACCTACAACGTACGGCTGGCTTTGGCTCAGCTCGAGGATGGATCACATTCACGCCATAAAAAAAAGCTCTTTGTTCAACACTGGTGCGTTGCTGCGCTCACACCTGCACAAACCAACCGCACTGAAACGAACCAGAGTTTGAACTGAACAGACTAAAAACCACAGGTGTGAAAACACCCTAAAAACTCTTTATTGTCCAGTGTTAGTGTGCTCTGTTAAACACTCCACACCTTCAGCCATGTGACCATCTGAAGTTGTACGACATCAGAAACACTGCAAACCATCACACTAAACAGCGGATTCATGCACAGATAGAAGCTGCAGAGGCAGAGAATCAGGTGTTTGGTCTGTTTTTTGTTTACCGATGGTTTGCACTTGCAGGGACACTCTTGTATGTTACACTGCTCCACCTGGACAAAAAGGCACACTGTCAGCTTTTACAGCTGACGTCACACTGTCATCATTTGGTGCCCACAGTTGAACAGGCGGGTAAAAAATCCGCCCCGAACTCACGTTGTCGTAGTGCTTCTTGACGATGGGCTCGTAGAAGCCGATAGCCTCCTTGTACTTGTTCTGCATGAAGAGCACGTGAGCCACGTTCAGCTTCCAGGTGTCGTTATCGTTGCAGTACTCCACCGACTTGCGAAAAATCTTCTCCACCATCTGGAAGTTCTCGCGGTTCCAGTAGATCTTAGCCTGAGCCATGAGGACGACGATGTACCTGTGAAGAGATGCGGCCAATCAGAAGGTAATCCTCTGTTACTGAATTTGCTTTGTTTCCATTGAGGAAATGAAAACACGGCTTAGCGTGTTTATGTTTGCGTGTCCTCACTTTTCCTGCATCAGTTCGAAGTCCTGCACAGGTTTCTTCAGCAGCTCCTCATCTCGAGTCAGCCTGGTTTCCTGCACCTTGAAGAAGATGAGTGATTCACACAGACATTTTATTTGTATTCAATCCTGTCCTGCAAGAAATCGGCAAGTTCAACTGCAAGCCCCTTTGCAACCAGCCTCCAAACCACGTTTTATAGTTCTGAGTTAACCCACAACGCCACTCCTGTAACAAAAGCATGTCTGATATATAACCCCACAAAATAAAACACAGGCAGTGTGAAAATGC